CCGGGCACTGAAGCATCAGCATCTCATTCCTACTTTGAGTAAATATGGCTGGTCATTTGCATTTCATTAGGTTTGTCATTTTGACTGTACTGAATTTATTTATACAAGGAGCCCTAATCATGTACTACTACTGCCTTACATGTTGGGCTGCTACCAAAGGTCACCAATTCAAATACACCAGCCAATCCACAGGATTTACAATGTACACTCTGGGAAACCATGAGCCAGAATCCACTCCATGGCAGTGACTGGTTTGTATTTTAACCTACACACCTGTTGTGGTTTTAATATAGAAGCAGAAGATACACATGTTTAGATTTATAGGTGCATAGACTGTCAAAACAGCAAACAGATTATGTCTTGGAGAAAGTGCAGCCAGAATGCTCCTTGGAGACAAGATGACAAAACTTCGTCTCACACACTTTGGGCATGTTGCTAGGAGAGGCTATTCCTTGGAGAGGTACCTCATGCTTGGAAAGGTGGAGGGTCAGCAAAATAGAGGAAAATCTTCAACCACACGGATTTACACAGTGACTATGGTAATGGGCTCAAGTGTGTTAGAGGTGATGAGGATGGCACAGGTTAGGCCAGGGTTCAGATCTATTGCTCGATGGTCCCTAACAACAATTACAACATACTTACATAATGTTTTAAATAAAGTTAAAGTCAACACTTGGGAATAAAAATTTTCCTGAGCATTACCTCTGTATTACAGGCTATGTTGAGGACTTTGGGATTCACACAGAAGAGAGGCTGGGAGCCTGCCCTCTAGGGGCGATTATCAGCCAGACATTATCCATATCTTAACTATCAACAAATTCATCTTACTTGAATCCACAATCAACACACTTAGCACCAACAGTCAGGAGAAAGTCTGAAGTCAGCGACCTCTCCAAATTACTGAGGAGCAATGATGTCAATTTGAGGATTAAGGCTGTGCCTGATTCGGCCACAGTCTTTTTCAATCACTTGCTATGCACTTGAGAGCTGAACAATAAATAAAGATTACAGAAGAAGAATCGATGCTTTTGAGCTTTGGTATAGGAACAGAGTACTGAATATCCCATGGACTGCCAAAAGAATAAACAGATGTGTTTTAGAGAAGGTATAGTCAGAGTGATTCCTGGAAAGCTTCAGAAATGGAAAGATAGATGGGTCAGCGAAAGAGAAGATCCTCAACCAGATGGACTGTCACAGTGATGTGTCAATGAACTCAAGTATGCCAGAGATTGTGAAGATAGCACAAGCTAGGACAGCATTTAGATCTGTTGTTCATGGGATCGCTATGGGTTGTACGTGACTCGATGGCACCTAACAACAATGACTCTTAACTCATTGTCATCTAGTCTGAATCTACTTATAGCTGACTCTGTGAGTTTTTCCTCACAGGAGGAGACTGCCCATCTTTCTCTAAAAGAGTCGCTGCTGGATTTGAACCGCCACAGAGGTGCCACCTCTGGGTTAGCTGCACAACTCCCTACAGACAAGGCCAGCAGCGGTTCTCAAAGGTTAGCATGCAACCCAGCCCTCTAAAGAGTGGGCTCAAATGCCGATACCGTGCTCCATCCCTGAGTTTTCTCACTCGGGTGGGCTGAACTGTTGCTTTTTTAACAATTCTAGGTGGTACTGAAAACTGCTGGTTCAGGGGTCACATTTTGAAAAGGACAGATCAGCTACAAACTGAAATTCAAAGCAAATCTAAGCAAGAGTTTTAACCAGGAGAGGAGAGAAAATTTGGGAAAGGGCATAACAGGAAAATAAAAATAGCGAACCCATTGCCATCGCATCAATTCTGACCAACTCTATGGGTCAGAGTAAACCTGCGCCATAGGATTTCCAAGGCTCCGGGGCACTGAATATCCCATGCACGGCCAAGAGAATGAAGAAAGATGTCTTGGAGAGCACACACAGAAGGCTCGCTCACTAGAGGGAAGGATGGTAAAGCTCTGTCTCACATATTTTGGGCGTGTTGTCAGGAAAGGCCAGTCTTTGGATAAACACATCATGCTCAGAAAAGTGGAAAGTCAGTGAACGAGGGCAGGACCCCAACAAGATGGACAGACACAGTAAGTGAAACTCTAGGCTTTTGTGTGGTAGAGACAGTGAGGATGGCACACTGCTCAGATCTGATATTCATTGGGTCGCTATGAATCGTACCTGACAACACTTAATTAACAGTAACAACAATCTTTATGGCACATCTTTTCTCCCAGCTAGTTTAGTTTCAAACTGCCAACCTTTGGGTTTGCAGCTGGGAGCTCTTAACCACTATGCCACCAAAGCTCTTGCTGGCAGCACAGAGAACAGCCTAAACAAAGGCGCTGCAGTTCCAGGAACTACTCGATGTGGCTGGAGCATAAACTGAGTGGGGGCGTGGCAGGGAAGGAGGCTGGGAGGGCGGTGAGTGGGCAGCCCTGCCCCTTCCTGCTGCCTCACCAGGTTCCACTGTCCCAGGTGCTCCTGAGACAACCCTGCCAGTCTCCTCAGGCGACTGCAGCCCAAGCCCACACTCCTTCCCTGCAGCATCCCTGCCCCAGGCTCAGCTTTCACACTCAGCGTGGGCGGGTATCAGTGTCTCTGCTGAACCTTCCTGGGCAGCTCTCTCTGGAGCTGCTGGAGCCAGCCCAGAGGTGCCAGGGAGTTGTGCCAGGTAAGCCTGCATGCGCACGGGGAGGGGGGACGTGAGCAGCTGGGGAGGTGCATCAGGCTGTGCTCTGGGCTCGTCTTTCCAGATCACTGCCATCGCTGGGCCAGCCTGGCCCAGCCAGTGCACAGTACGCGCTCTATCAGCACCAGGATCTAGGGCTGGGCATGTGTTTGTTACCGCTTGAGCCAGGGCAGTTACTATGGGTAGATAATAATAGCAATCGTAATCCCTCATAATTGGACCAGACTTTGCTGTCTGCAGGGCACTTCCATGTCCATGACCTCATCTGACTTCCACAAGCACCCTGTAAAACAGGCACAGCTAGAGTTACTAGCCCCATTTTCCAGCTGAGCGAACCTGAGGCCAGATGGCCTAAAGTCACATCTCCAGTGAGTGGGACCTGAGGCTGCTGACTCCTTTTCCAATACTCTTCCTGCCTCATTCCACAGGTGGGGGCCAGGGACTCTGTGGCCCAGGGCAGCACAGGACGCAGCATACAGTCCCATATTAGCAATGGTTTGGGGACAGCTCCCCAAACCTTTCCACCTTCGGAGACAGGCTGGACTCTGACCATAAGTGCCTAGACATGGAACTTTATCAGCATCACTCAGAACCGTGACGATTCCTGAAGCCTGGTCCAGAGGGAAGAGATGACCCACGGCCACAGCTGCCACAGAAGAGCACCTGTAACCGTGGGGTCTGCAGGCTGGAGAGGCCCAGAAGTTATGGAACAACCTGCATCTACTCTTTTTCTGTGAGATCAGAAACGATGAGACGGAGCTGGGGGCCCCAGGAGCTCGGACCGGCAGGATCACAGCATGTACTTTCTCTCTTGCCTGCAATGTGTATCTGTGTGGCCAGGTGGCTCTCTGCTGGGTTCCAGGCTGGGCTTCACATGCACACTTGAACGTGCACATGCGTGTCCCCACCAGGTTAATACCAGGTGGGACAGTACAAAGGCTCTCATCTGGACACACCACTGACCAGCTGGTGGCACTTCTGCTCTGGACTCAGGCTTCCTCAGCTGTAAACTAATCATACCTTCTTGTCCCCTTTGTTTGGCAGACTGTCCTCAAGGACTGAATGGAACAATGAGTAGACACTATTTAGAGACAGAAGCCTGCTCTCAGGATGAGTAAGCCAGGAAGGAGCCAAGCACGCTTACACAGAGCGGGTAGAGAAGAGGGCTCAGTGCTCCAGAGTGGTCAGCAGAGCTCCTGGTCTTCAGGGGAAGTGACTGGGTGGGACAAGCCCCAGGAGCTGCTCAGGAACCCCATGCCTGGCACCTAGGTTTCCACTCTTGTTCCAAAAGGACAACTCATTGCCCTCATAAACTTGCCCTGCTCCTCCTCCTCCTCCTCCCAGATGACCCCCTCCCCCAAGCATTACTACCCCCAGCCCTGCTCAGGGAGAGAGTCAGAAGAACAAAGAGATGACGTGACATGCCAGGAAGACCTGTGGTCAGAACAGCTTCCCAGGAAGGGTGGCAATGGCTTTTATCATTCTCTTTGGCAGAGGAGGAAATTTTTGATAGGTGGACCCAGCTTATAACCCCCCAGACAGCCTTTCAGGACTCAGTAGGGCTTCTCATCAGTCTTGGAATTCTCTAACTGACTTAGGTTTACCCCTCTCCTTCCCCCCCGGAGCTGGGCAGGAGGGTACAGAGGCCAACTCCGACTGGGCTCCTCAGAACAAAGCTGCCAGCTTGCTGGCCAGAAGCTAAATCAGGATCCCTCAGTGACACAGGCTTGAAGTCTGGAGGTGGGCGTGAGAGGAGGTGGGAAATCCCCATCTCCGAGAGAGAGGCACCGATGATGTAGTATTACCGGGCAGAGCACAGGCAGGGGGCCGGGTGCCCGTGTGAAGCCCTTCCACCCCCACCCCCACAACCCGCACCTGAAGCTTGGCTTGCCTTTGGTACCCAGAGGCTAATGAACACCCCGGAAAAACAGAGAGGTAAAGTGACCCACCTGAGGACCCACAGCCAGTAAAAGCCACTACCCAGAAAGGACGCCAGGTTTGAGATTCTGTGAAACCAGCACCTCACAACCCACAGACTCCAGGTTTGAGCTTCTGTGGTGAAAAGCCTGGGTTCTGGAGCCAGACGTCCCAGGTTCACTATCCTACCTCACCACCAGTATTCACCTCTCCCAGCCCACGTCTCCTCATCCTCAGAACAGAGGTGTTCTCAGCACTGCCTGGCTGGGTATTGAGAAGACTGAGGATGCTGTCCAGTGCTCACCTGGGCCACGTGCACACACCTGAGCTATTAGGATTTGCGGGGGGTGGGGACAGCAGGTAGGGTCAGGGCAAGTTCCTTCCCTTCTCTGAGTGCCCAGAAGAGTCTGCTCACCTTGCGGTCCTCCTCCCGCTCCAGGGCGGAGCTGCTGGTGTCCCCGGGGCCGCTGGAGGGCATCGCGGGCAGCTGGGCGGTGGGAGGCAGGCTGGGGCTGCGCGGGGCTGGGGGGCTGCTTGCCTTTGGGGAAGGAATTATCGTGGTTTTGTATATCAAGAGTCAACACTTAAACATAGGTGCTGGTGCTGAGGCCGCGGGTGAAACACTGCCTCCGTCTGCCTGTGGGTTTGGGCTTCTGATGGCTCCACCTGTGGGGAGAAGAGAAGAGATGTCAGCGTGGCAGGGATCCCCAGTCACAGGCCCCATTAGGTCCGCGGCCCACTCTGATTTAGGCCTGTGAAGCCTTGTTCCAGTGGCCCCACGCTGCTTCCCAGCCTCACCGCCGAGCTTGGGCTAGCCCGGCACCGCAGAGAAAGGGGAAACCGAGGCAGACAGCTGGCACAGTGTCACAGGTCTCCCCAGGGCCCCTCGGCAGTCTCCTGCCTCCCTCGATGACAGGAAGAGTGTCCCCGGCCTCCCCCTTGCAGTGGCGCGGTGGGCACGGCTTCTGTGACTTCCAGCTGCCTCCCGGGCCTCCTCCCGCCTCTTCATGTCTGTTCTCTTCCTTTGAAAGCTTCCTGCACCTTCCCTCCCACCCCATCCGCCCCCTGGGAAATCCCAGCCACCCCCAGAGGTCCCCAGCTCAGCGACATTTTCCTTCTCATCTGTCCTCACCCCACCCCACCCCACCCCCACATGCCCCACACCCCCACCACGTGGAGGAAGTGAGCAGCAGTCACAGGATGTAGTGAAATGAATGTCACTTCACTTCAGGACCCACTCTGAGCCTGCAGGAAGCTGAGACATGAACTCAGGCTGCAGCCCGCCTGAAGGCCCATGCTCTCAGATGGACGCCCCGGATGGGAGAGGACTCCCTGGATGAGAGAGGCCACGGCCAAGCCTGGGAGGCCACGCTCCCACCAGGGGCCAGTCCCTTTTGTTTTGGGGAACTAGTGGGCCTGAGAGGGCTCTCAAAACCCACATGTCTGGATGTAGAGCACTTTTCCTCCTCCCTGACCCAGGTATGGGCCTTAAGCCAGTGGAGTAACAAAACCGACGCTGTAGGCCACAGCTGGGAGTGGCGGTGTTGAACCCCTTCCACTGAGAGGGACACGGAGTTCCAATGCCCATTCCACCCCTACCAGGAGGCACAGACAGCCAAGCCCCTGCCTCAGAGGGTCAGACCCCAGAGGGTATTGGCAGAAGGACCGGGAGGGAGGCTGGATCTGGGCCCACACACACCCTTCCCTTTCCAGTTCTCAGTTGGGCTCCACCCTCCTAGGGCTCCCTCTCCCACCCGTCCACTTCAGCCAGGGCTCCCTGGAAAACCAGGAGCTGAAACAGTACAGACTCAGATCCTCCTCAGGCTCACTGCCTGCAAGGGGGTTCCAGCCATGGCGCTCTCCCTGGAAAGGGGATAGGAGGAGGTTCTCTTAGAGCCAGGCCAGCAGTGACTGTCATTAATAGACAAGTAGAAAGGGCTACACACCCCAGGTAAGTTCTCAGGACCCAAGGAGTAAAGCATCTCATTTCTGTACCTCTAAGCTGAGCACAGGGAGCTCTGCTGGCTTAGAGGGAAAAAAGCTGTGCTGACAACCCAAAGGCATGAGGTTTGAATCCACAAGCGTCTCTGCGGGAGAGAGATGGGCAATTTCCTCCCATGTGATTTATTGCTTCTGAAAACGCACGGGAGGCCAGTTATGGGTCAGTTCCAAGTCAACAGCACAGTGTGTGCTCCCGGCCCAAACACGCCAGCAAGTGTACTGAGTGGATGGCAACAGTGAGAGGACAGCGCTGTGCGGCCCGCAGGCTTCACCTGCCACTTCAGCCACTACTTCTACTCCTACTGTACAGTTGAATCTGTGCCTCAAAAAGAGTAAGACTTGTCCATGGTCCAGTGTCAAAGCAGAGGTTTGAACGCAGACCTCTGTCTCAAAAGCTCTGAGAGATTCTCCATGACGCTTTGCCCCCCACCTCACACCGCCCCACCGAAACCACTCTGGACAGCTTGGGCATGGTCCCACCCGAAGTCCATGCGGCAAGGGCAGCTCTCCATGTCATCAGCAATGACACTGAAGACTGCACTGCTCTCAAGAAGCATACACCCTGGTTAGAAGTCCCAGCAGCTTCCTCTAGTATATCCAGAGCCTCCTCAAACCTAGTCGTTAGTCACCACGGACTCCCCCATGTGTGTCAGACCAGAACTGTGCCCCACTGGGTTTACAATGGCTGACTTGTCATAAGTAGATTGCCAGGTCTTTCTCTCAAGGAACCTTGGGGAAGACTAACACCACCAGTGTTCTAATAGTGTATGAATAGTTTTTACCACAGATTCCCAAACACTACAGATCACCCCCAAATCAGAACCTCCAGGAGACAAGACAGATGGAGTCTAACTAGAAAGAATGCTGAGCCTGGAGCCAGCAGATGGGAGTTCTAGTCCTGACCCGGGCTTGTCTGACCCTCAACTTCCTCCTCAGCAAAATGGGACAAATGGACTAACTGGAACTAGGCATAGAGCTACAAAACGTCTTCTGGCTCTGAGGGACCAATAAGCACTGAAAAGTCACATGGGGGAGGCCCACTCAAATGCCCCAAAGGCTGACTGGAAGCGGGGGAACAGCAGAGCTTCCACCTGGGCCAGGACACCTCAGGAGCTGTGGAGTGGAGACCCAGGCACACAGGGCCAAAGAGACAGAAAACCCTTTACCACATGTTTGTCTGAACTCTGCCCTGAAGCCTAGAAATACCCTGAGGACAGCAGTGGGGCAGGGGGGGGGGGAGGCTTTCAGAGAACCTCTGGCTCACAGCAGGAGAGGAAGGAAGCAACGGGGGACAGCAGCATGTCACAGGGCGCTCACTGGGGGCGAGGGCAAACACCCAGGAAAGAATAGGAAATGCTCTTTCCTCCCTCTCTTCCTCCACCCAAGACCCTGACATCTGAGCTACATAAACTGTCCTCATAGACAAGACAGCTGGCCCAGGTCAGCCACTAGGTCCCTGTGGGTCACTCAGTGGACAAGCACCTACAATGAATGTCCCTCAGAATCCTTCAGCATCAGCTAGAAGCTCCCAGTTCACGCCGCAAAGGCCATAGTCTCAAATGGGCTCAATCTGGTGGCCCCAAACTTTGATATGGGGTTTTCTATTTGCCCTTACAAGAGTCACCCACCTTTGGTAACTTTGCCAAAGGGAGTGACCTGTTTCTGGGCTCACAGTCCCTCCACACGCTCCTCCTTGCTGCTCCCCGCACCTAAACCTCTCCTCAGACAGGCTGAGGGCTGCACCACAAACCCTCCCCACCACCAAGAACCCTACCACCGTGACAAGCAGTTTTACTTTCTTCTTTACACTTTTAATTTCCACCACGTCTGTGACTTGTGCTCATAATCAATAACTTTTGAAAAAAATTTTTTGTTTGTTTTTTCTTTAGCGCCTCCTGCCCCCTCCCCTTCCCTCTTTGTATATCCATACATATCTCATTGGTTACCCTTCTGTTTGAAGACTCGCATCATGAAAGTGTCTTGCTAATATTATAACTGGGATAGTTTCAGTCATCACTACTTCAGTGACAATCTTGGTACGGGTAACAAATCGGGAAGTTGAATAAGTGGGGCATATTAAGTCAACAGCAATGGGGTTTGGTAGCCCCACTTAAAACTCTTGGAAAGATAGATATAGAGATAGAGAATATAGATAGATATAGATATAGATATAGATATCGATATAGATATCGATATAGATATACAAGACATCAAGTCACACGATTGGGTTGAAAAGGAGAGGAGACAACAAAGACAAAATTTTGGCATCTGGAAACCATCATGGGTTGAATCGTGTCCCCTCAAATACGTGTCGGCTTGGCTGGGTCAAGAGTCTTGGTGGTTTGGAAGTTATGTCTTGTTGTAATCTGTGATGAACCAATTGGTTGTAGAAATTGGAGTAGGATGTCACACCCTTCCTCACATCACAGGCCTGATCCCACATGGGGGGAACTTCCTAGAGGTGCAGTCTGCAATGCCTTTTATCTCACAAGAGATAAAAGAATAGAGAATTGAGCAGAGAAGATGGATTAACTACCACCAAGAAAGAAGAGCCAGAAGTGGCTCAAGACATTCAGATTCAAGGTTCCTTTGCTGAGAACCTCCTAGGCCCAGGGAAAGACTAATAGCAAGACACATGGATATTTCAAAGGAACCCCAGGCCCACAGGTGTTGAAAGGAAACAAGACCTTTTCCACAGAGCCTTTTTCTAGAACTGATGCTCTGAATTCAGACTTCCAGCCTCTGAGGAGAGAATAAATTCCTATTGGGTAGGGCCATCTACTTTTGGTACTGCTGTCAGAGCAGTACCAGAGACTCTCAATAAGCTGGATTGACACAGGGACCGCAGCAATGGGTCTGAGCACAGTGAAGACTGTAAAGATGGCAGGGTCAGGCAGGGGTTCCTTCTGCAGCACACAAGGTCACCAAGCATCAGCGCTGACTCCACAGCATTAACAACAATGAGAGGATGATATGAGGACTGAGACGTAGGCCACAATGGAGAAGCTGGCTTAGAACATAGAGACTTTACCAGACATATGACATAACTATAGTAAGTACTCCTGGACTAGGGGTGAAGAGGATGTGAGTGGATAACCAAGAGGGCTGGAGGAAAGGAGCAGAGTCCCGAGAGCTGTGGGAAGGTTTACTCTCCAAGGAGCAAGCGGGAGCCTTTTTACAAAGCTGGTGGCTGCAACAGTTGAGAACAAAGTTGACACATCTAAACAAAGAGATTACAGGTACGTTAAGGGCTGACGCTCAGTCCCCCAGGCTTGTTCCCATGGTGCTCCTAGAACACTATTTTACTCATTTTCCTGGGAAGACTTAGCAGCCCAAGAGGAAAGGCCTAAGGATACCAATACTGACATCAGTATCAAAGTGGCATTAAAAATGGCTTCAGGTCGACCAGTGTGAATCTGACAGTGGACACGTCCCTTCGTTATCATGCTCAGGGCTTCTAAGCAGCTTTTTAATCCCTGTTCTTAATCCTGAGCAGATCACCAAAAGCTACCAGGCATGTGAGGGAAAGCCTCTAAAGGGAAAATGAGAAAGCGGAACAAATAAACAAGAACACCAATGTGGAGAAAACAGACTTTCTGCACTGAAGATACCTCATCTATGGGATAGGAATGGGATGCCATTAAAAATGGGCATTCAGAGAACAAA